GAAAATTTTTGCCTTCCTTAATAGTACATCAGAATAATGTAATATTATTTATACTTTATTTTGTAATAAAGGTTTAGTTTCAAGCTTTGACAATAGTAAATAAAATCATGGATCAGGTATGTCAGGAAGAATATCATCGATAATCGAAATTAAAAAATCCGCTAAATTTTGGTCCTTAGATTTCCAAGAAATATTCAATGCATTTTTTAAATCATCTTCAATCTTTTCGGGCACGCTAACTGAGACACTTCTTAATCTAATTTCTAAAGCTCCCTTATGCAATTCAATTCCTGGTATAGTTTTACTAACTACCTCATTCACTGCTTTATATACTTGTTCTAATGCCTGAACTCGTATATCTATTTCTTCTAAATTCGTAACAATACTATTGTCTCGAAATAAATTCGGATCAAATGTTTTGAACATCTTGTAATCTATATTAAGAATAGGCTGTCGTGCTTCACGAATTGCCTCATCAACTTCTATTAATCGTGGGATTCGATCTGCATCCATTACCAAAACACCTTGTATAGGTATTTCGTCTACTGGTGTAATCTTTGTTAAATCTATTTTTTCTCCTGGAAGTGGCAATGAAAGTTTTTTGGCATTTAGGTGCCGTTTCAATAAATCCATTGATATATCAACTGGTATAGAAAGTGGTGTTTCTATCGTAACTGTCTCTCCATTCGCTGGACATGTACATGGTACTCTACATTCACGTTTAATCTTATCTTGTAAAAACTCCATTTTTGCCTTTTCTCCGTGCACTAACATTACATTTTTCGGGGCACATTGCTTGATTAATTGCATTATCCCTTTAGCATCTGCGTGTGCGCTAAATGACAAATTCTTTACTTGCAAGTTGACATGAACTTTATTATATGCATCAACTTGTACTTCTTTATCCCCATTAAGAACTTTGGCTCCTACTGTACCTGCAACACAAAATCCTGGCATTATGACCATATTTTCAGGGAATGGTGCCCATTTTTTAAAAACTTCTAAAGATGTTCCAATATGTAACATTCCTGGTGTTGCAAATAACACTGCGGCTCCAGGCAAGTCTACATACTGTCTGTCCCAAGGTTTTATATGTTTAAAGTCAAACATGTTACGATTGACAAATGTGTTTTTTATTTTTTCATTTGTCCAATTAATAAACAGTTTATAATAATCATTTGCTTTTTCTGTCATGCCAGCTGAAAAATAAACTGGAACATTAAGATTATTTCTCTCCCAATATGTTTCTATTAATATACAAAGCTCTTGTGCTCTGCCTAAAGCAAAAACGGGTATGAGAACCTTTCCACCTTGTGAGACGCGGTCATGAACTTTTTTTAAAAAATCTCTTTCACGTGATCTTTTAGAATCACGAATAGTTGTAGCATATGTAGATTCTGTTATTAAAAGGTCTGGTTGAACTTTATCAATCCATGCCGCACCAAGATGTCGATCTGGTGTCATGTTATAATCTCCTGTATAAACAACAGATTGTGTACCAACTCGTACGTAAAACATTGCTGCGCCTAAAACGTGACCAGCATAATACGCTTTAATTTCCAGATAATCGTCATTATTAACTTTGATAGTTTGGTGAAGGTTGACAGCAGTGACTTTCTTCATACAATTTTTAATCATTTGTGATGTGAAAAAATTCGTGTCACCTTTTCTTTCTACAGTGATTTTTCGGTAATCTTCGAGTAGAATCGGGCAAATAGCTTTTGTTGGATGTGTCATATATATAGGTCCTCTATATCCGCACATTTCAGTAAAAAACGGAAGTGCTCCTAAAAATCGATTATTTTTAGTTCTTAAATAAGTTTAATAATAAAAAAAATTCATTTTTTACGAATTAAATTACCACAATGATCTAGATGAAAGTGACTAATTATTACACAATCCAATTGTTCGGTGAATCGCTTAGTCTTGGAAATATATGAAAAATCCGGAAATCTTCTGTCATCGTTATATCCCATATGCATACCACAATCAAACATAATGTTTTTTATACCTGTACTATCGTCACCTATGGATACAAGAATACAGCTACGGCCGACATCTTGTCCAGCACCTAGGGGCACTACTTTTATCATGATCTTTGTTGAGAAAAAAAAAAAAGTTAACAATTCAGTATTTTTATAGAAATTTGAGAATTCATCTTGTGTGACATACATGCAATCGATTATTTAATTCTGATTGGGTAGATTGCTTAATTGGTTAATTGGTTAAGTACTTACGAAACCCTAATTTTTTAATATCAGATATATCGTTATGTTTCTCACAAGATCTGAATACGACCGTGGCGTTAACACTTTTTCCCCTGAAGGCCGTCTGTTTCAGGTTGAATATGCAATCGAAGCTATTAAGGTATATAATCAATGATTTCTTTAGTTGATTACTTCCTTTCATTAATTCTTTCATATAATAGTTGGGTTCCACTGCGGTAGGGATTCAAACCTCACAAGGTGTTGTCCTGGCGGTAGAAAAACGTGTCACCTCTCCACTTTTAGTATCGAGTAGTATTGAGAAGATCATGGAAATTGATACTCATTTGGGCTGTGCAATGAGCGGTTTGACCGCAGACTCTAGAACAATGATAGATCACGCTAGAGTTGAGGCACAAGTAGATTTTCGATAAATTTATATATTTTTTTGACATTTTCTTATGTATAGACGTTTTCTTTTTTTTAATCTTTATAATTCCACTTTGGGAAAGAATCATCATTTTATTTATAACGAAAAAATTAAAGTAGAATCGGTCACACAAGCTGTATGCGATTTAGCACTGAGATTTGGTGAGAGCGCACATGGAGAAGAGTCTATAATGGTAGCTAATGAAATTAATTTATTCTAAATGAGCAATTTAAGTATTCATATACGTGAAATTATTTAAATTTTTTAAAGAGCCGACCTTTTGGTGTCGCATTGTTGATTGCTGGCGTCGACGAGAAGGGTCCTCAATTGTGAGTTTTTCAAGAAAAATATTTATGAATATCAATTACTTGGAAGGCAATTTTCTAACTTTTTTTGAATCAAAGATTCCATGCTGATCCCTCTGGTACTTTTATGCAATATGATGCCAAGGCTATTGGTTCCGGATCTGAAGGTGCTCAGACAGAATTGCAAGAAGAATATCATAAGGTTAACTATATACTATCAATATCAATTGATGTTATCTTTTACATATGTTGTAATAGAAATTATTCTCATTTGAATATAGTCTATAACTTTGGAGGAAGCAGAAACACTATCTCTCAAAGTTCTCAAACAGGTTATGGAAGAAAAATTAAACAATACAAATGTTCAACTTGCCTCTATCACACCTGAACACGGGTTTAGAGTTTATAGTGAAGAAGAATTACAAGTAGTAATTGATAGATTATGATTAGAGCTACAGACTGGATGCAAATTTGTCACCCGGGTCACCTATTCATGATCTTGAAATCGGGTATACGATTACGTACACCCTATAAAAAAATATAAAATAAATTTAAAAATACATATAATAATTGTCACGACAATGTATAATCTAACTGCATAAAATTATTCCATAGTTCCTGACCGAAAGATGTTGATAATTAATCAGAGTAGTATGAATTAAACAGTTAAGTACTGCTAAAGAATTTGGCAGTTAAGAAAATTTACTTTTATCCCAACCGTCAATTCTACTATAGAAAGTAAATTTTTTTAAGTTTGATTATTCAAAAAATTTATTCAATTGATTTTACAAATTTATAAAATTAATTTATTCAAAGTTGCAAAAATTTTATTAAAAAAAATTAATAATTTTATACAATTAGAAAATCTTTTAATATTCTTTAGTAGTATATTTGAGTTAAACAAAGTTAATTTTTATAAAAATTTTAAAAAACAACTAATTATTTTTTTTTTTAACTTAGATGATCTTGCCTATCATTTTATTAAGAAAAAGCTAATTTAAGTTACAAGTAAAATACTATATTATTAATAACAATAATACTTTTTTAAAACTATTCAGAACTTATTTGGTTACCTTTAGGTACCCAAGTATGATCTGCTGCAGCAACTATTTCTCTTGTAAGAGTTTAAGTTTGTATAAACAAATTTCAAGCTCCTAGTTAATGAGAGGCTACTATTAGTCTATATTAAGATCATCTAACTTGTTTTAAACTGCAACCATTCTTTTTTTCTGCCTGATTAGACTCATCTATCAACTTTGTTTGAAGTTTCTTTTTGTATTTATATTTCTTTTTCTTTTTTTGATTTTTTTGTTTCATTAGAAAGAGTTAAGTTTTCTTTTTTCTTTTTAGTAGTGATATTGTTTTCTTTTTTTTATTTAACTATCACTTCATATTAGAACTTCTATAAATAGTTATAGAAGCATGTTCAGAAGTTGTTTAATAAAACTTATTAGAACTCTGTTTGCCTTATTTTTTGATCAGATTATTTTGCTTATGTTTGTTTGCTAATTCCTATTTGTGAAGCTTCTAAGATATATTTTTTAAATATGGAGTTTTTCTTTTAAGTCTTTGCTAAAAAAAGCTTTTCTTAGCAAGGATTCATCAAGAAACAAGTTTAGTTTTGTTTTTGCTTCTAGATTTGTTAGCTGCAAAGCTTTCTCTTCTAAGTTTTTTCAGATTTTTTGATATATTTCACAATCTGCTAAATGATATAAAGTTTTATTTGCTCTAAAGCAAATTATATATTTTCAGTTTTTGTATAGTTTAGAGTTTCTCATAAAGCAAATATCCTTTATTAGTACAATATTATTAATGTATTTTATACAAAAAATAAGGTTCTTGCTCTTTCTCAAGCTGATGTATCTTTTTTCTTGTCATTTTTTGAGTGCTTCTCAAGTGATTTTTCAATTTACTTTTTTACTAAAGTTATTTTTATAGTTTGAAACTATGATATCTGCTATTCAACTTAGACTTGCTCATTCTGTTTCATAAGTTATTACAAATATTATATTTATAAATGATCTAAGTAAGTATTTTATTATTTGGTTTTTCTATATAGGTATTGCTTGGAGGTTATCTAATATTGTTTCTAGTATTTTGAAAATACTAGCTTTTTTAATATCTTTTTTAGTAAGATAATTTACTCGATTATTCTATTTGTTCCTACTATGATCTTTAACTTTATACAGTAATAAGTTAAAGCTCTTAGCAATACAATAGTCTTTTATTTGTCTTAACAAGCTTCTGTTTTTTATTTTGAATTAGCTTCATAACTTGTTATTATCTAAATACTTTTTAATAGCTTCTATTGTAGCTTTGCTATCAGTAAAAATATATATTTTAGTTCTATATAGTGCTATTAACAAAGCTACCTAAATAGTTTTTAATTCTGTATGAGTTAATGATAACTAATTTTTTAAACTACAATTAAAGCTAATACTATTTTCTTGTTCTTCTTTATTTTTAACTATCCACTTAGCATCTATTCTACCTAGTCTAACTCTTTACTACTATCTGTTAATATACTATTTATATAATATTTGATGGTTTCTTCATTTTTTAATTTTCTAAATATATTTATTAACTCTCTTTTGATTAACTTATTGCTTATTACTCTTTAGATAATTGTATTTTTGATACTGTTGGCTATTATTTTTACTTCTACTTCTTGATCTGTTTGGTAGTTTATAACTAGTTCTCTTTCTTTAGTATATGCTATTAATAATACTTTTAGCTCAATCTCCTTTTTAGTTATTCTCTTTATCTTTATAGCTTAACACCATTTTTTATATCTAATACTTGTCATATATTCACTATTATATAGCTTTTCTATACTACACTTATTATACTTATGAAATAAGATATCCTTTGCTATATAGCTCTAAAGAATCTAATGTTTAGCAAATATGAACTTTTCTGTTTTACTTGCTATTTTTCTAAGATAAGAGCTACTGTTTCTTTCAAACAGCATCTATTCTTTTTTCTATTTATTTTTAAAGATACTTTGAGATTGAATCTTTATTGCTTTTTTGTTAAGACTAGCTACTTTAAACTTGTCTTATAATTCTTTAAAACTTTTTTCTTTTAGTATACTTTCTTTAAGCTTCTTAAACTAGCTTGAAATACATCTTTTAGTTTTTTTATCTCTTATATATTTTATTTGATGCTATATGAGCAACTGATTTTCTATACTATTTATTAGTTGTTCTACTACAAATAGATTTATCTTATTAGATTTTATTTTTAAGTGTAACTTTTTTGTATTTAGCAAGTTTAATATTTCTGTTCCCTTAATATTGATAGTATCTAGATCTTCTGTTATCTCACGAATCTTTAAATCTAATTTAACTACTTTATACAGAACTTATAAAACTAAATTATGTTTAGAAACAGGTTTGTCAAATATGCAATATCAGCTTAAAAGGCTATACAAGCACTTGCTTTGTGGCTAACCTTCTCTAATTCTTAGTCTTATTATTTTTCTGTGAATTCCTTGTTAGTTTACTTATAGTGTTAGCTCTGTGAAATAATATGCTAGTTGGTTTTATCAAATTAATCTTATCTCTAAGAAGTCTATATAACTACAAATTGAGTTTGCTATTGATTTAGCTAATTCTAGTTTGTTCTTAATTAGAGTTCAAATTAGCTTTTGCAAGTTCCTATATTTTGATTTACTTATAAATATGGTCTAGAGTTTGTACTCTATACTTAGTAATAAAATGCTATTGTTTAAGTAAATAAACTAACTTGCTAAAGCTCTTTTCTATTTTATAGCTTTGCATATTCTGCTTACTTTATTTTTTATAATATTTAAGCTATAAATAT